GAGGGAAGATGAGGCTGCCACCCCCTCCCTGCACATACTAATCTTGATGCCTCAGAGAGGAGCTTGGGGTGGGGCTAGGTCCCTCCCCTAGCCCAAATGGGGTGAGTCAGGGCTGCAGTGACCCACCCGTGGCTTCTCTGAACTCTAACTAGTACTTGGCTCCCCCCTCACCACCACCCCATTCCAGACCAATGGCAAAGCATCATTGAATCCCCCCTCCTCTCCCTCCCTCCCCTGACTTTTGGTCAATGAGCTCCTGGCTTTGTGTGGAAGATGTGAACCTGCTTTGCCCGTGGAGGAATTTATGAGGAGGGCCCTAGCTTGCCTGGAAACAACTCTTGCCGGCTAGGTCTGGGGAGAAGCCGCTGGCTGGGCATTCAGGCTCTGGGAACATTTTGCTGCTGTCCCACCGCTTCCCAGTGTCTTGGGCCCTGCAGGGGGCGCTGGCCCGGGCCCCGGCTCAAGGGGAGAGGGGAGAGGAGAAAACGAGGAAGGGTTCCTCTGTGATGGGGTGACTGTCTGCCAGGGACAGTGCGATCTCTCTCCACACTCCCCCACTCTCCTCCAGCGCTGGGCCTCCCTGCTTGGGTCAGTCACTGGCTCCTGCTTACCTGCAACAATAGCTGGTTGTGCCCAAGAATTTGTTAAACTACCGCCTGTCCCCAGCTCCTGTTATCTCTGCCCAGTGGCTCCCACTCTTGCCGGTGGTTATGAGCCAATGAGGCCAGGCCTCAACTTTGCCGGCCCTGAAAGGATCTTCTTGGCGCAGACTGAGTGACCCAAGCTGGGAATGGAGAGACAGTGGCCTATTGTTTTTGGTGATTATCTGCCATCAAGCTGCCTGTTCTCCTACCATCCCCTGTCCTCAGAATGCACTGATGGCTTCTGCGGCACTCAGGAAGCCGAGATGCTGGGACTGGGGTTGGAGCTGGGGGGCAGGGGCATGGAAGATGGATAAGAGGAAGAGAGAAGGGAGGAAGGAGCAAGAGATAGGCATCCTTCTGAGATGCAGGACTCTGAAAAGGGCAGGGGCTTTGTGTTTGGCATTCTCCAGCCTGGGAAAGGGGTGGGGGTGGAAGGGAGGCTTATTGTGGGGAGTCTATTTTGGGTTCTGACTTTCACCTTTTATTTACTTGTTGGGTTTTATGTTGCCAGCTGTGAGTCAGAATGGAGGTAGGGCGTGTCAGCGATTGGTTGTGCGTGGGTCTGCGGGTCATGGCTTAAGTACCATCTCCCCATCAGTGTCTACGCAGGGGGAATGTCAGAGGTGTGTTCTGGTGGCCTCCAGGAGAAACAGAAGGATGAACATGTACATTGAGACACAAAATCGTACCTTGGTGGGCAGCTGTAATTATCCCTGGAGCCCCATGGGATTTGGGGAGAGAGGAGGCATTGCCCAGTGTGGAGTTTGGAGGTTCCTTCTCTGTGGGTAGATTCCAGTGGGGGAAACAGGAGGGCTGTTCCCTGGTTTGTGCCATTCAGGCAGTGAAGAGCCAGAGTCTGTTGCCTAGAACTAGGCTGAGTCTTGAACGGAAGGAACTGTGGGGAAAGACAGATGTCCCCTGCGATTGGCTAGTGAACTTCTGAGTGGTGTCCACCCACGTGAGTGGCAAGAAACTCTGAAATGACTGGGCCTCAGAGGTCCTGTGTTGATCACAGTATCTCGAGCTCTGCCTTTTGATGTTTGTTAATATGAATATAGTACCTGGGAGTACCCAGGTGCATCTTGCTTTTTCCCCTTTGGTTGTTCACGGCCAAGGGCAAAGGTGGCCCGCTGGTAATAGCACCTTTGTTTGTGCAAAGAAGGGCAGTTCACAAAGAAATGCTTTCACCTGCGTTATCTCATTTGATTCCATGCAGCTGCCTCTGGGAAAAGTGGGTGCTATTGTCCCCACTTTGCAGATGAGGGAACTGAGGCTCAGAGGGGTCAGGCAAGTTACCAGAATCACAGACTTGTCCAGGGGCCCAAAGTTTCTGAGTCCAGATCCCGTGCTCTTGCATGTCACCAAAGCCTGTGCTCTGCTTCACCCCAAGCCGACCTGTACTATCAGGGAACTGTTTGCTTGCACCATCAGGAAGGACTGTTGGATGGCGGTGGTGTTGGGAAAACAATGGAGTCTACCCTTGTGGTTTACGAACTCTTATCTCAAAGCCTTTTTCAGGCAAAGATCGTTTCCATTCCCAATGCTCCTGCAGTCTGGATCGCCTGCCTCACCTGGACAGGTATCTCTCAGGCAGGAAGGGCTTCGGTATACCTGGTGCCGGAAGGAATAAGTCTGTGCTTACTTTTTTGTGGTTCTTGCTGAGGGCTAGACAACAAGTGCTTTGTAAGCATTAACTCAAATAATCTGCAGAGGACCCTTTGAGGTGGATGTCAGTATTGGCCCATTTTGCGGGTGAACTCAGGCCTAAGGCTCAGAGAGGTTAAGTCATTTGTGCACGATCTCATAGCTGGGAAGCGGCGTTAAGTGGGATTTGAAACCAACAGCCCAGCTCTAACCACTGCATCTTCCTGCCAGAGGCCGTGGTGGTTTCTGTCACTCTGCGCCACCTCTGTGTCCTGGGATGAGAGTGGTCCTCAGATCCTCAGGCTATGTGTGATAGCCAGGCCTCCTCTATCTCTGTCCTCTCTTTCAGATTGATCCCAAGGTGGCCTTTCCTCGGCGAGCACAGCCTAAGGTAGGTATGTCTGTGTCTGGGAGTAGCTCTGTACCACCAGTAGAGATTTTCCCATCCTTCTCTTCTATGGAAGAGGCTTCTGGGTGGAGTGCTAATGACATGGCATGGGATGGGAAGAGGGAGGATTCTTGATGTCCTTGCTCTCTGGATTGCAGACACGATGCATTTTTCCATCTGTGCTCTGGGGTGAACTAGGGAGAGGGGGCTGCATTTGTTGAGAGAAAGAGGAACTCCTCAGGGGATTCATTGCCCTGTGTTTGAAGTCAGTACGTTTTGGACTCTGGGCTTCCCTGGTGGCTCAGAGGGTAAAGAATTCACCTGCACTGTGTGGGACACAGAGATGTGGGTTCGATCCCTGGGTCGGGAAGATCCCCTGGAGGGGGGCATGGCAACCCACTCCAATATTTTTACCTGGAGAATCCCCATGGACAGAGGAGCCTGGTCCACAGAGGGCCACAGTCCATAGGGTCGCACAGAGTCGGACACAGCTGAAGTGACAGCATGCACGTGTGCACACTTTGGACTCTAATTCTGTGACTTTGGAGATCACAACTTCTGTGCCCGCACCTCTGGGGTGGGAGGCACTCAAATACAGCCCAGACTTACCTGCTGAAGCTGAACTAGAGAAAGGTCAGGGAGCTACCTCTGACCCCCAGTACCCCACCCCACCCCCAGCTCCCCTCACCTCTGGGATGAGGTGCGTTGGGCTTGCAGAGCAGAAAGGGATCATGGCATCTGTCACCTGTTATCTTTCAACTTGGATGACTGTGGCTGCCTTCCTGAGTGTTCTTTGTCCCTGGTGCTGTGGCACGTTTTGCTGGGTACCCACAAAACAGCTCTCTGAGCAGCGGAGCCATACAGAACTCAAAACTTTTGGTGCGGCACAGGGGCCTAACAGTGGTATTCTAGTTCCCAGGGCAACTAGCCACATCTTCATTTTTAAGCAGTTGAAAACAGGAGATAGGCAGTGGGCTGACTACAGTCCTGGGAGCAGGAGCCCTGAGTCGGCTGATTTATCATGTGTCCTGGGACTAGGTCCCTCTCCAGGAGATCTCAGTTTCCCCCTTTGCAAGGGGTTGGTGGGAATTGGTGGCTTTATGATTCTAAGTCATGGCGCCTAGCTCCGGCCACAGTGAAAGGAGAGGGGCAGGTCTGGGGAGACAGGAAAAGGGCATCCCTGCCAGGGTCCAGCAGAGGGCCTGAAAGCAATTATGGAGCAGGTATTGGAAGGAAGCCGCACCAGGGAGCACATGGTCGGAATTGGGTTAATTCCATTAAGCAGTTTGGTGACAGAAGGTGCTTTAGTGCTAGGATGGGGCTGGGAATTGCCGTGGATTAGCCATGCGCTCCTGGGGTAATTAGGACCATGTGTTCTTCCTAAAACAGGGCTGGGGCCACGGGGCTGCCAGAGGTTGGGTTGGGAAGAGGTTGATGAGGAAAATGTCGGTGTTAAGTTCCGGGGGACCCTGGGATGGGCCTTGGCCTCTTCTAGGAGTGGCTGGTGGGGTCTTCGAGGTACAGCTGTAGGTCTGGGTCACTGAGCCAGCCACCCACTTCCTGACATAGACCCCAGGGAGCGAGCCAGGGTGTGGGGTGTACAGCTGCCTGTGACAGGGCCAGAGGTGGGAGTCCAAGGGGGGAGCTCGGGGTGGTGGTAGGGGGTGTCTTCTGAGTAGCTGGGGCCACAGAGAGCTTGTCAGCTGGCACCCCAGCAGGAGGGCTAGAGCCCCCGCTGGTGGCGGTAGGCCACAGGACTCAGATGCCCACTTTCTCATTCCCTCCCTGAACAGATGGTGACTCGAACGAAGAAGATCTTTGTTGGGGGCCTATCAGTAAACACCACGGTGGAGGACGTGAAGCAGTATTTTGAGCAGTTCGGGAAGGTGGGTCCGAACTGGAGAGTACTGGCTGGGGGTCAGGGCAGGGGGAGGGGGGCCGGGCACGGGGTATGAAAGCCCTGTGGAATTTTGGTCGGTAGCAAGCGCGGAGTCCAGCCAGGTCATTCCAATTCCTGCAAGAGTCGCAAAGAGGGCTGGGTCCTTTTGTGGGTGAGGCTGGGCCAAACCCAGCGCTCAGGCTCCTGGCCTATCTGTGGGCTTCAGACTCTGTGGACACCTCCCCAGGGAGGGAAGCCACACAGTAGCTATCCCTGTTGTTGCCCTTCTCCTGCCTATCTCCTTCTCCTGAGGGAGGCTGTGCTCCCGAAGCCAGTTCAATCCAGTCACCCCCTTGGCCTCCTGGGAGTCTGCACCTGTCCAGTCCACCGGGTGGTTGTACCTTCCCCCACTCCTTCCTGCTAAAGATGATAACGAGGCAATAAATATGACTCTCAGTTGTATTCAGAACCCTGCTTGTGCAGGTGGGAGCTGGGGTGGGGGGTGGTGCTGATCTCTTAGCTTATCAGGGAGGGGCTGCAGAGACCACCCCAAATTCCTGATCAGTCCCAGAGAACTGGTTCTCAGCTCTGCGTTGCCTGGAACTTAAATTTCTGGGCCATTTAGTCCATGCAGAAGCAGTGTGGTGACATCAGACAATAGCGTGTCCCCCACCACCCCCCAGAAAGGGGAGCGTGTGAATCTCAAGGTGCCATGGAGATATGGCTAGGAGGGGACCAAGTTTTACTTAAGCCTCGGGGTGAAGCAGAGCTTGCTGTGCTGAATGCTGGGGTCCCTGGGCTTTTCAGACGTGGAACAGGCTGCCGGTTGGGTCTCACCTTCCCATCAAGGCCCTTTCGGTTCCCTATATTAGGCGCAGGACACAGGAGAATCGTGGCTTGAGAATGGGACGTGAGCTGGGGACTGGGTGGGTTTCCAGCCCCCTGCCTCTAAGGGAGCGGGTGGGAGGTCCCCTGGCCAGCGTATGCTGGCGATGCCGGGGCCAGAGGCCTAGGCTCAAGGCGCCTCCGCAGGGACCAGGGTACTGGATCCAGGGCAGGTCGGGCGGCCTGGGCCCCAGAGGGAAGGGCGCTCCTGGGAAGCAGCAGGCCCCGCTCGGGCTCCGGTGGGGTGTCTTTGTGTCTGAGCGCCGAGCATTAGAGCTCGCACTAATCTGATCCAGCAGCTGTGATTGGAGGCCGCCTGCCCCCGGGGCCGGCGTTGCCATGGCAACCGGGCCCCAGGAGAAGCCGTCAGCGGCCGCGTCTTTTGTTCGGGCCTAAATCGGCGTTGGCATGTGAAACCGGCCCTGGGAGGCCAGGGGGAGCCGGAGAATAGGCTGCCAGGGAGCGAGGGGGACAGCCGGGAATGCCAAGGGCCCCGCGGCGGGGGGCCCCCCGCCCGGATCGAGGGGCCGCCGCCGAGGGGGGAACAATGGTCAGCCGCCATGGCTGCCACTCAGGCTTAGCGGCCGCCGAACTTGGCGGCTCCCACTGGTCAGCAGGCCTCGGCCGCCTCCCCTCCCCCCCGCCCGAGCCCCCCTGCCCCTGGGTTCCCATGGAGACCAAAGCCTATTAAGGACACTGGGCCGGGAGCCTCCCTCCCCTCTGCTGGCCCCAGGAGGGGACGCCAGTGGGGGGTCCCCTGGACCCCCAACCACTTTTACTTGCTCTGTGCCCTGGCCTCAACCTGGCTTGCCCACTCCGGGTCTGTCCAGCCAAGGCCCGGGTTGAAGGGTCTGGGCTTGGGAGGTGGCCAGGGCTGGTGGAGCGAGAGGGGTTGATTGGAGGAAGGGCGGTGGATTTGGGCTGAATCAGGAACTCAGCGGAGAGATAGGGAAGGAGGGTGTGGCTGGGCTCATCTATTCATTGGTTCAAAAAGTAATCAGGGAGCACAAGTCCCGTGATGGATAGGGCGGTCATGACTGACCTGGCACTGCCTTCATGGAACCTTCAAAGCCAGTGGTGTCCAGTTGTTTACTCTCTAGCTTTGCCTGCCTTCCCCATGTGACTGTGGGCAAGCCCCTCTCTAATAAAGGTAATAATAACAATAACAGCTGCTATTTATTAAGCGCTTACTCTATCCCGGGTGCTGTGAGTTACGACTGTTGCATGCATATCTCCTTTAACACCTCCCTATAAGACACAGCTAACGCCCCATTTGACAGATAACGAACTTGAATCATAGAGACCTAAAGCTGCTGGCCAAGGTTACTTTCCAGCTCCAGCCGGTCCTACTCAAAGCCTGTGCTTTAATCACAAGCCCCCCTTTCCGGGTTTCTCTTTTCTCTGTGCCAAACGTGAAGTGTCCATCCGGTTTGGACGGTTGAGCTGATTTGGGACTCAGAGTGGGTCCATAGGGATGGGAGCCACGGTGACAGCGAGCTGTGCGGCCCTAGGGCAGGCGCCTCTTTGGGCAGAGAGATGTCATTTTCTCCTGAGATTCTCCAGGGACCCAGCTGCCTCCTGACTCAGTGGTGTGGGGGATCCTGCTTCTCCTTGGGGAAAGTCGGGGGCCCGATTACTGCTTGGTGCCTAAGAGCTGGAGGACCACCCAGCTCAGGGGCCGCCCTTTCCACTTTAACAAGGCGGATGACAGCCTGGACTGAGAGCAAAGGCTAGTGGGGAAGAGGCTGTGCCCCAAGGCCTCAGGAAGTTTTCCTTGATCCCTTGGGTGTCTGACCATTTGGGGGAGGGTCAGCAGCTGGAGTGGGAGGTGGGATAGGGAGAGTCAGTGTCAGAGGCAGCCCTTGATTTCCACCCAGGATGAATCCGACCTTAGCTTAACCCCATGAGACAGCAGACATTGGCTGAAGAATTAAGAGGGCAAGGAGGAAGCAGCAGATGTAGGCAGAGGGAAGCTGGGACTGCGGAAGGGAAGAGAAGGCCTTTGGCTGTCCCTGCATCCAAAAGGATGCCTTGAGGGAGCAGCAAGAAGAGAAGACTTAGGGTCCAAGGGATGGGGGATAATGCAGAACCTCCCCCTTCCTCCACTCTTTTCCCCTCCCCCAGTCAGTGGGAGGCCGGCAGCCCAGGCACTGAACTCTACTTGCTTTAATTACAGCCTCTAGCAAAAGGAAACCTCAATTAGAGGAAAAGATCTGTAGGAGGAGAGGGGAGTTGGGTCTGACTGGAGTGGCTGCTGTCCTCCTGGCCTTTTGCAAGTGGGAAAGAGGCTTTCACTTCCCCGTCTCCTATCTTACTCCTCTATTTTTTCCTCTAGCACCCACTGTCTGCCTCCTCCTACTCCTCCCAGACTTGATCTGGGATGTGCTGTGTGACCCTGGACAGGTGACTTCACCTCTCTGAGCCCATTTCCTCATCGACAGAATGAGGCTCTTACCATGCAAGGAGAAGATGGTGGGGCAAAGTGCCAGGCATATAGTGGGTGCTTAATATTTGCAGGAGAATCTGGTGGTTGAACGGGGGTGCTGTGGCAGCCAGTTGGGGTTGCCGATGGAACGCTGTCCCCCACCCAGGGAGCAGGTTGAAGATAAAGCCTGGACTGGGCAGGAGGGGAGTGGGTGTCGGAGCCCTCGCTCCTGGGTTGCGGTGGGGCCCCCGGGTCTGGTGGGTCCTCCACGGGAGCTCTGTTTTAGGTGGATGATGCCATGCTGATGTTTGACAAAACCACCAACCGGCACAGAGGTGAGTGTGGCCCCTCCTCCTTCCTAGGCTGGGCTGGGGGGCCTGTGGTCAGCCAGGGGGCTGCAGGTCACAGCTGCCCTTTCATCTCGCCTCCTGACATCCTATCCCCGAGGATCTGCATCCTCTCCCCGGCCTGGCCTTACAGAAGGCTTTTGTCCCGCCGTTTCCTGTGCTAGAAACTTGCCGAATTGCAGACACCGGAGAGGAGAGGAATGGAGGAGTGGACCTCTCCTCCCCCGGCAACCGAGCCCTCCGCCCCCGCCCCAGCCAGTGTCTGCTGGGCTTACCTTGTCCCTGGTAACCAGAGCTGGGGCCCGGCCACCCCAGGGTCAGGCTGACTCTACAGTCTGCTCCTGCCTCTGGCCCCCTCGCCCCACCCCGGGCCGAGCCCAGCCCCCTTGGCCCTGACTCTGTGAGCTTCTGGGCCACCGGGTGCGTACTGCCTGGTTTTTTCTCCCAAGGGCCTTGCCTTCTGAGAAATCCCGTTCCAGCCCCTGGGGCACACCCAGGAGGAGGCAAGGTTGTTTCTCCAGTGCCTTCAGAGCTTTGGGCCTTTTAACCTGTTTGGGGAGTGGGATATGTGCTGGGGTGTGTGTGTCTATGTGTTCGTATGTATGCATGTGAGCGTATTTGATACTGAACAGTTGTGTAGACCTAGCATGTCAGGGTAACTCTCATATGCACACAGGGACCTTAATGCCTTTGTGAGCACTAGTTAAAGTGTCTCTGTGATGTGTGGGTACCTAGGGGTGTGTATGTGTGTGTGTGTGTATCTGTATACAAAAATATACCTGTCCATGTTCATGTACATTTTTAAAAGGATTTGTGTGTGTATTTTAAAAGTATTTCTATTTCCCTCTCTGGAAAGCATCTGAGGAAGAGAAAAGGCATGTTGAATGTCATTTGCGTCACAGTCCTGCCTCTTTCTAATTTGCTCTGTGACCTTGGACCAGTCACTTCACTGAGCCTTGGTTTTCACATCTATGATTTGGGAACTGAAATCCTGTCTCGTCACGTACTTGAGAGGTTGCCAGGGTGTGGTCGAAGCCTCTCATTAATTCTTAGACACTTGCCTGTAAGAAGGGAGTGGTGCTGTTGGTATGACTTGGGGCCTGGTTCTGACCTTGCCTTTACCCGCCAGGGTTCGGCTTTGTCACGTTTGAGAGTGAGGACATCGTGGAGAAAGTGTGTGAAATCCACTTCCATGAAATCAACAACAAAATGGTGAGCAGGTGGACTTCCCTAATGGTGCAGTGGTTAAGGCTCTGCGCTCCCACTGTAAGGGGCATGGGTTCAATCCCTGGTGGGGAACATTGTGCATGGCATGCAGAGGTAGACTGGGGCTCTAGCCTGAATCAGCCTGGGAATGCTTGGAGGTTCTGAAGGCAGGCAGAGGGGCCTCACAGGCAGTGGGGCAGAGCCAGTTCTCTCACCCCCTGAAAGTGTGGACAGGAACATGTCGGTTAGAAAGCATGGCTGGTGGGCTCAGAGGGACTTGGACTGAAATTCTTATTCCACCACTTCCTAGTCTATAGTCATTGGACAGATGACTTCGCCTCTCTGAGCCTGAGTTCCCTCGTCTGCAAAACGAGAGTGTCAGTAGTACCTCCATCCATCTCAGGGCCGGTGTAAGCATTTGATGAACCACTGCATGCTCAACCCATCTCTAGCACATTGTGATCACGCCAAAAATAGTAACTATGAAATGAACAAGAGGCCTGCCAGGGAATAGGAGAGGGTCTGTGACCCTGGGTCTGTAGGAGGGACTGACCACCGGATCTCATTGCAGGTGGAATGTAAGAAAGCTCAGCCAAAAGAGGTGATGTCACCAACGGGCTCGGCCCGGGGGAGGTCTCGAGTCATGCCCTACGGGATGGACGCCTTCATGCTGGGCATCGGCATGCTGGGTATGTGCTAGGCCTGCACCTGTGGCTTCTCCCTGCCCAGAACTGCACCTGGGGCTCCCAGGAGCTGTGTGGCTGTTGCCTTTCCTCTGTGGTCTGCCCTCAGGTCTGGGCAGACAGTGCCCAGGGCGTGTGGACCAAGGATCTCAGGTCTGGCAGTCCTAATGAAGGTGGGCGATTTGGTTGTGGGGTGCTGCCCTCTGGTGGTAACCAAAAGAATGGTCCAGTTGCTCCTCATTAATTGGTCCTACTGTCCATCCCACCATTCGATTTGTTTGTCCACTCATCCATCCAGTAAGTAGTTATTGAGCAACTATGAATGCCAGGCCCTATGCCAAGAATTACAGCGGTGACTTTCCTTTGGGCTTTATGGTCTGGCAGGAAAAACAAATAAGTCCCTGGGGGCTCAGTGGTAAAGAATCTACCTGCCAATGCAGGAGACACAGGTTCCATCCTTGAGTCGGGAAGATTCCCTGGAGAAGGAAATGGCAACCCACTCCAGTATACTTGCTTGGAAAATCCCTGGACAGAGGAGCGATGGGGTTACAAAAGAGTCGGACACAAGTTAGTGGCTAAACAACAAAAACGTAATAGGTTTGGGATGGAGAAGTGTAGGTTGCCAAGGGAGGATGGTCATAGTGAAGCTGACCAAGACTTGGAGACGCTAGGAGAGACGTGACATTTAAGCCGAGTCTGAGGGTTGAGTAGGAGCTAAGTCATGGGAGGGCCGGGAGCAGGGGAGGGGGAAAATGGTCAGGCAGACGGAACAGCATTTACAGACACTCGGGCCTTTGGGAAGGTAGAGAGAAGCATGTTTCTTCTTGTTTGTTCGATTAATATTTATTGAGCAGCTTCTGAGAAATAGGACCTGCCTTCATTGTGTTTCCCATCAAGCGAGAGACAAGATTAAATGGACCGTGTCACCACAGAGTGACTGGAGGCTGTGGGAGGCCCGAGGAGGCACTTAAATCGACCTGGGGGTCGGGGAAGCTCCCTGGGGAGGGGGGTCAAGGTCACCATGAGCCTTGGAAGATGAACAAGAGTCAGCAGTGCTTGGAGCCCTTGACCAAAGGTGAAAAATTTGAGCTGGGACCCCAAGACGGTCACAGTCTTCCTGGAGAGACAAGCTGTATATACACAGGAGAACACTAACAAGGGGGTCTTTATGTTGGAGATGGGGGAGGGGTGCCCTGAGGACTCAGAGAAGGGGGTGCAGCATGGGCTAGACGGTCAGGACTGGGACCACAAGTAGAGGGGGTGAGGAGCATACCCCCCAAGTGGAACATTGTCTGCTGAAGTTTTATTTTTGCTTTTTGACTTTTTGTTTGAAAGTAACTTTACATTTTCAGAAGAGTTGGAAAAATAAAGTAGTAGTACCAAAAAATCCATATACCCTTTACCAGATTGACCTGTTGTTTTTTTTTTTTAAGATTTTTTTTCTAATGTGGATCATTTTTAAATCTTTATTGAATTTATTACAATATTGCTTCTTTTTTAATGTTTTGCTTTTTTGCCTGAGAGGCATGTGAGTTATTAGACTTGGTTGGGGGACAACCAGGAATCAAACTCTTACTCCCTTCGGAAGGTGATGTCTTAACCAGTGGACCACCAGAGAAGTCCCCAGATTCACTTACTGTTAATATCATACCCTATTTGCTTTTCTCATTTCCTCTATATGTGTATATATATACATATGTGTAGACACACACACACATGATACGCTTATGATTTTTCTCTAAATCATTTGAGGGTAAATTAATATAGCTATTTATGTCCTCCAGAACAAGATCCACCAGAATCAGTTTTTGAATTTAGTTATTCTGTTTCTTTAGCTTCCTTTGGAACTTTGAGAAAATTTTCTTTTCAAAACAATTCATTAGCTGGTCTTACTCCTTTTAAAAAGTGGGGGAGGGGGACTTCCCTGGCAGTGCAGTGGTTAAAACTTGACAATTCCACTGCAGCAGGTTTGGTCTCTGGTTGGGGAACTAAGATCCCACATGTGCTTGTCGAGGCCCCCCCCCAAAAAAAAAGTGGTGGTGGGGGAGAGAAAAGAACACTTCTAACCAATAGAGAATCATGGTTAAGAGACTTGGAGCCAGTCAGATCTGATTTTGAATCCCAATTATACCATTACTACTCACTATGTGATCTTTCTTTCAAAGCTGCAAATATCTATTACAATATATGCATACTAAGTAGCAGGCACTGTTCTGGTGATGGAGAGATAGAAATAAAAGGTGGGGAAGACAGAAAATCAGCTCTTGAAGAAATCCTGGGATAAGTTCAGATACTGGTCATCAGTGCTATGAAAGGAAAAAACCAGGGTGACATGATAAATATTGAAAGGGAAAAACCAGGGAGAGTCACATGATAAATACTGTTGTAACTGATGAGAGAGAGGTCTTTTGTGGGATCACTTCTCTGAGGAGGTGACATTTGAGCTGCCTCTTGGACAATGAGGTCATAGTCATGTGAAAACCTGGGGAAGAGTGTTCCAGGCAGAGGAATTAGCATGTGCAAGGGCCCTGGGGTGGGAAGGAGCTGGTGAATCTGAAACACAGCAGGGAGGCCAGTGTGGCTGCAGCGGAGAGAGCGAGCGGGGCAGGGTGTGGACGAGGAGAGGGCGGAGGCAGGAGCCACAGCATGAAGAACTGTGATAGGTTGGATTATTCTCAGTCCATAAATGTCTCCTCACTGAGCCTCAGTTTCTCTACCTATAAAATGAGTCTCCTAACGGTGCCACTTGGTATTCTTATGAGGGTTAAGGAGAGAGCAAAGTGTGCAGTGGGTTTTGTATAGGGCTTGGCATGCAGATAGTATGTATGTGGTAAATGTGATTATTATTCATGATACAGAGTGGGGAGGGGAATTCGTGATACATCCTCCCCCACGGAACTGTAGATAAAGCATCTGACACTGGTCCCCTTGCCTTATCAGGTTACCCTGGTTTCCAAGCCACGACCTATGCCAGCCGGAGTTATACAGGCCTTGCCCCTGGCTACACCTACCAGTTCCCCGGTAAGTCCCGCCCAGTGTCCCACTGCTGCCCGCATGTCCCCGGTTCCCGGGCAGTCTGACTCCTCAGGGCAGTGTTCAGGGGGTGGTGCATGGCTGGGGGGAGGTCTGCCTGCTGGAGGCTTGGAAGGAAGGGCATGTCTGAGGAAGGAGCGCCTCTCCCTACCCAGCCCCCCTCCCCTCCCGAGAAGCTGGGGGTGGGGCTCCCCGTGTGGCCCTGCATGACACCCTCCCTCCCGGGCTGACCTCTGCCTGTCTCTTGCCTTTCTTCCCTACCCCCGTCCAAGGTTGCCACTTCCACCAAAAGGGCATCAGGCTTGTGGCGGGGAGTCCCCACTGAGGGCCAGAGTTGACTCTGTCCTTATGGACTCCCCCATAATGACCATGTGCTACACTGAGCCCCTTCCAAGGCAGATGAGACCTTTTCAGACCCTGAATGCTGAAAAGCAATTTAAAACCACCATGATCACCACCCTCATTTACAATTCAAAATAAAAACAACATTAGCCCTTCCCATATGTGGCAAGAAGCCCAACAAAGTTCTGAGCCTTTCCCATGATGACTATTCAATGTTTTTTTTTTTAAATATCAGATGTCATATTTTTGCAAGGCTCTTGTTTGTTTTTTGGTCTTATTTCTCTGGAGGGTCCCCTAAGCCCTTGCACCTTGGGCTGTCCAGATATGAATCCCCTGTGCACATGACACTGACTAGTCCTGACAGTGATCTCCAGCGGGAGGCGGGACGAGCCCGATTTTCTAGGTGAGAAAACGGGCTCAGAGGGGAAAGTGACTGCAAAGATGACTCATCTAGAAGGTGGCGGAGCTGCTCCAGGGTCATTGCTTGCCTGCCCCCAAAATAGAAGAAAAGATGGATTCTGGGAGATGTTTTAGTGCCTTCAGACCTTTTTAAAAAAACACCAGGGACAGAAGCTCCACCATCTCCCAGTGCCCGGAGTGTAGGTGGCAACTCTGCCCACTTGTTCCTTCCCTGTTGGTCTCACTTTTCTGTGTCTTTGTCTCCATCCCCACCTTGGCCTGCTGGCGACCGTGCTCTCCCCATCCCCAGCTCTCGGGTCCTGTGCATGGCCTGTCCCCCCACCCAGTGTCCCATGAGTGCCTTCGTCCTCCCTGGGCCACGCCGGAGGGGCCTCTCTGCATCTTCCTAAGCTGTTTTACGTTTCATTTTAGAATTCCGTGTAGAGCGGACCCCTCTCCCGAGCGCCCCAGTCCTCCCCGAGCTTACAGGTCAGTCGCTCGGATTTCGTACATCTCACAGGCCACATGGGGGAGAAAGAGAATGACCCAGGGACCGACCCCGGGAAAGCTAGGGGGACCCTCTTCTCCTGCCCTCCAGTCCTCCGGCGGAGCAGCAGCCTTAGGCACTGGCCAGTCTGCGTAGCTACATGGTCCTTAAGGGTAGGGCACAGGGCCAAGCCCAGCAGATGGAGGCGAAATCACTCATTCATCCACTTGACAAATATTTATCTAGCGCCTCCCGTATGCCAGGCACCGTGTCGGCGTTGGGATCCAGAGGTGAACCAGCCAGAGTCTCTAACGCAGAGGGAGTGGGCGGGGTGGGGACATCAGGACACGATGGGGGCGTGGCTCCGGCGGTGGGCGTGGCTCCGCTCGGCCCCTGCCAGGAGGAAACATAGAAACCCGGTATGTTCAGATTCCATTTTTTCCAAGAGAAGCCAGAAACCCGGCTTCACTTTCAAATGAATTTTTCAGTTATTTTCAAATATTAGCAACGAGTTTCAAATTTTTAAGTTCCCCAGGGACCAGATGAAACCTATTTGAGGGCCGAACCCAGCCCATTTGCAACTCTTGGGCAAGTAGGGCGATGTGTTGGGCCATCCTGGGCCATTTCTCCCGCTGGAGTTTTCACCTGGGCCTGTCAGCTCAGCTTTGGAGCTGGGGCCGAGGCGGAGGCCCACAGCAAGGGGCAAGGGGCGGGATGCAGATGAGGTGGGCTGCAACAGGTTTCTCTGTTCAATCTGCTTCTCCCCTCACCCCACCCCCAGACTCCTCCCCCGAACCTAGCCGCGTGTGGAAGACACAAGCGTGGACGCTGCTTTAGATGAGACCTTCCTTCCAAGGGGTGCTCAGGGGCCCCCCAAAATGGGGGAGGGGAAAGAGGCACATGGGGTGAAGGAAGGGGAGGGAGTCCTGATGGTGGGGGTGATAGAGGATCTTCCCTGAGCAGAGTGAGTTGTGGGGCAGATGGGGGTCTTTCCTACTCATCTTGGAACTCGTGTTGAGGGCCTACTGTGTGAGACAGCCAGCCAAGCCCTGGAGACAAAGAAGGAACCAGACAGCCAAGGTCTCATCTGCAGAACTTGTGCTCTCGAGAGAGACATAAATACTTATTATACAAATGAGTAATGCTTTACTGTTGTGATGAGAGCATGCTGGTTTTGCTTTGAGGAAATGCCTAACTGGGCCCCAAACCAGACCTCAGGGCCCAGCCCTGCCCTTAAAGAACTGAGGGAAGGAATAGCCCCTCTGCAGACATTTTGGCCTGGGGAGGCAGTGGGTTCGAGGCTGAGCAGTTCTTGGAGGTCTGGGGTATGAACTTTGCCCTCACCTTCAAGAGATGACAGTATTTCCTTGTGCATTTAATCAATATTTGTTGTGCCAAATGCTGTTCCAGGCTGTGAGGATTCAATAGGGAGCAAGACAGACAATCTCCCTGCCCTCCTGGAGTTGACAGTCTGGTGGAGGGAGACAGGAATAAACAAGTAAATAAACAAGTAAATCAAGATACTTGCACCGGGTGAGAGGTTCCATAAGGAAAATAAAACAAGGAGATGTGCTAAGGTGCTCAAGTCAGGGCGAGGGGCTGCCTTAGCAGGGGTAGTCAGGGAAGGCTTCTCAAAGGAGGTGATGTCTTGAGTGAGAAGGTGCCAGCTCTCTAAAGATCTTAGGCAAAGCGTCTGCCAACTATGCAGGCATGCTGTCCTAGATTTTCATCTCCTGGCCCAACAACCTACCGAAGAATTTTCACAAGGATTTTTTTCCAGGGTCCCTCACCCCACCTCCAGTTCCAGTTCAGGGCTAGGGTCACTAAAACAGCCCCCAGGGGCGCATCTTTGAACAGGAGATGCTGGCTCTGGCTGGGAGTGTGGCCTCTCAGGGTTGCAGTGGTAGAGCCAAACAGTAGGGGGTGCTCATCCCCAGCCAGAGGCAGCTCCAGGCTCAGGACAACCCATCATTAAGGCACGGGTCCCTCCTAGTTATATTCCTCCTAGTTCAGTTCAGTTCAATTCAGTCATTCAGTCGTGTCTAACTCTTTGGGACCCCATGGACTGCACCATACCAGGCTTCCCTGTCCATCACCAACTTTAGGAACTTACTCAAACTCGTTTCCATTGAGTTGGTGATGCCATCCAACCATCTCATCCTCTGTCGTCCCCTTCTCCCGCCTTCAATCTTTCCCAGCATCAGGGTCTTTTCAAATGAGTCAATATTTCCCATCAGGTGGCCAAAGTATTGGAGTTTCAGTTTCAGCATCAGTTCTTCCAGTGAATATTCAGGACTGATTTCCTTTAGGATTAAATGGTTTAATCTTGCAGTCCAAGGGACTCTCAAGAGTCTTCTCCAACATCACAGTTCAAAAGCATCAATTCTTTGGTGCTCAGCTTTCTTTTATAGCCCAACTCTTACATCCATACATGACTACTGGAAAAACCATAGCTTTGACTAGATGGACCTTGGTTGGCAAAGTAATGTCTCTGCTTTTTAATATGCTGTCTAGGCTGGTCACAGCTTTTCTTCCAAGGAACAAGCGTCTTTTAATTTCATGGCTGCAGTCACCATCTGCAGTGATTTTGGAGCCCCCCAAAAATTCTCTCGCTATTTCCATTGTTTTCCCATCTATTTCCCATGAAGTGATACCAGATGCCATGATCTAAGTTTTCTGAATGTTGAGTTTTAAGCCAACTTTTTCACTCTTTCACTTTCATCAAGAGGCTGTTTAGTTCTTCACTTTCTGCCATAATGATGGTATCATCTGCATATCTGAGGTTATTGATATTTCTCCTGGCAATCTTGATTCCAGCTTGTGCTTCATCCAGCCNATCACACCATTGTGATTATCTGGGTCATGAAGATCTTTTTTATATAGTTCTTCTGTGTATTCTTGCCACCTCTTCTTAATATCTTCTGCTTGTGTTAGGTCCATACCGTTTCTGTCCTTTATTGTGCCCATCATTGCATGGAATGTTCCCTTGGTATCTCTAATTTTCTTGAAGAGATCTCTAGTCTTTCTCATTCTATTGTTTTTCTCTATTTCTTTGCGCTGATCACTGAGGAAGATTTTCTTATCTCTCCTAGCTATTCTTTGGAACTCTGCATTCAAATGGGTGTATCTTTCCTTTTCTCCTTTGCCTTTTGCTTCTCTTCTTTTCTCAGCTATTTATTTATAAGGCCTCTTCAGACAACCATTTTGCCTTTTTTGCATGATCACTGCTATTCCTTAAACACCTGCTGTGTACAAGACAGGGTGCTAGGCGCTGTAGAGGTGGCGGGGCGGGGGAGTGTAGACAGCAAACTAGGGAGTAGCCAGATCCCTGTGTCTGAAGAGAGGGCCAGAGAAAAGGGGCTGAGGAGGCCTGGGGAAGGGAGCGGTCATTTCCTCCTGGGTGATGGCCAGGGGTGCTGAGCCGGGAGGAGGGGTGTGCGGGGAGCCAGCCAAGCAGCAGAAGGAACGGAATGGGGTTGTCGCCTGGAGTCTAGCTTCAGCCCGATCTTTTGGGGGGAGTAGGGGGTGGGAAGGCGAGAATGCATGCCTCGGTCCGTTGGTCCTTGGGGCGACAGGCCCAGCTTTTGGTGCCTGTGTCAGTCAGTCACTGGCTCCGGTTGACTTGGGCTGGAAAGAGGGACATATCTCTCGATAGCCCTGGGCTGAGTAGCCCCCTGGTTCAGCCGAGGGCCCTCCCTGGCGACGGCAGCAGCTGGCACTGTTCAGGGCAGCTCAGGGGGTGCCCCGCCCCCATCCCCCCCCATGAGATGTGGCTTGTGCACCACCACCCACCCCCACCCATGACATTTGGGTTGCGCACGTGAGTCCCTCAAGTCCAGGCTGAAGCAGAGGCCCAGCTGACCCCTGGGAGGCTGTCCTCTCTCCTCCCTTTCTCCAAGGGAGCTCTTTCTGCCTGAGCCCGGGGCTGCGCTTGACCGCTCTGAGGTGGGCTAGGGCCAGAGAGGCTCTGCCCGCACCCCTGCTGCCCCTCGGCCGCCGTGCTGAAGCGCCCACACCTTTCCTTCCAGCCATTCCCCTCACTGCTTACGGACCCATGGCGGCGGCGGCAGCAGCAGCGGCTGTGGTTCGAGGGACAGGTGAGGCTGTCTGGGGTGCAGGGGGCCGGGGGGATGGGGGACAGAGAAGTCTAGAGGGGAGGGGAGGCGGCCACGGCCACCCCTTTTCAGAGGGACTCACTGATTCATTCACTCAAGGACTATGAACTTAGCACCTGCCAGGCCCGCCGGGAAGGAGACAGGTGTGGTCTCTGCCCTCCAGAGCTTGTGGGCTGGTCGGGCAGCAGGTGTTAAAAAGGCCATCCCATGCTACAGCCTACCAGGGGAAGTCAGGTGTCAGAGACGGGCCTCTCGGGAAGGGCTGCCAGGAGGTTGCCCCTCTTAACTTCTGATCTGAAGGCAAAGAGGAGGAAAGGTATTCCCAGCAGAAGGACAAGCAGGTGCCAAGGCATGGAGGCCAGTTAGCATAGGTGGAGTGGAGGGGTGAGGAGTGGAGACAAGGAACCAGATTCTAGGGAAACACCAAACATTTTATTTTATTTTACTTTTTATTTTTTTACACACCAAACCTTTTAAACAGCGGAGTGATGGTCATTTAGACAGCACAGGCAGCTGTGGGGGGGGGACAGGTGGGAAGGGCTCCAGAAGGGAGGGGCAGTCAGTAAGGAGGCCGCTGAGCCGTGGGACCAGAGATAACGGGGGCCCTGGGCTAATTCTGGTGGGGGCGGATGGACTCTGGTCAATCTCCAGGCAGTGGTCCCACAACACTCTGCTGGGTGTGGGGGTGAGGCCGAGGGGGAGGGGTCAAGGTGGGGGAAGGGGGTGGGATGGGTTGTGGGGGGTTGCTGCGGGGTCACAGTGGGCGCCGGGGCTATCACCGTCTTCTTTCTGGGTTGCCAGGCTCTCACCCCTGGACGATGGCTCCCCCTCCAGGTTCGACTCCCAGCCGCACAGGGGGCTTCCTGGGGACCACCAGCCCTGGCCCCATGGCCGAGCTCTACGGGGCAGCCAATCAGGACTCAGGGGTCAGCAGTTACATCAGCGCTGCCAGCCCCGCCCCCAGCACTGGCTTCGGCCACAGTCTTGGGGTGAGTGGCTCCCAGATCTGGAGGCCCCAGAAGTTGAAGGCGGGAGAGGCCTTGTCTGTCTGTTGGGGGAGGTGGAGAAGAGAGGCAAGAGATAATGGATGGGAGACCCAGGATCAGTGAGAGTTGTCATTCACTCATTCAGTGGGCATTTAATGATTGCCCTCTGTATGCCAGCCATTGGGTGGGCTCTGGGAATACTGTGCAAATGAGGCTCAGCATCTCTGCCTGCATGGAGGCTAGATTCTAGCTCAGGGGTGCCCTGCTTTTTACCAGGGTGCTGGTTATCTGCAGATTCTCAGGCCCTACCCTGGAGAATCTACCCTAGTAGATAGTAGGGGCGATACAGGCAGGGCTAGAGAAGGTCTATGCCTTACCTGAGGCTCCTGTGGAAGAGAGGAGGAGCCCCTGGGCTTTCTCAGCCACCCCCAGGAATCTAGGAGTCAAATGCTTTTCTTTCCAGGGCCCCTTGATTGCCACAGCTTTCACCAATGGGTACCACTGAAGCAGGAAACAGGTGGCAGGAGGTGAGGAGGTGGGCTGGGGTCTTGGTGTGTGGGTGGCATCTGGCTAGCACTGAGCAGCGCAGTCTGGGACATAAGACTTTTTTGCAACCCACAGCGCCAGTGGGGAGACAGATCTTTATCCCAGCAATGGTCAAAGACCCAGAGAAGCGACTCAGACTGCTCCATAAAGGATGTAAATGATAGCCACCATAAGGCAGCACGTGCCGCTTCTCAGACAAAGATTTTTTTTTAAGACTGTTGGGGCTCCACAGTGATGAGGGAGGAGAGGAACCTGTGCAAATCGGCTCAGGTTTTTTAAAGAGCAGGGTTTATCTGGACTAAACATTTCATGCCCATAACACAGCGATTCTACATCTAGGCATTTATTTTTATAACTGAAATGCCCATCAACAGCAGAGCGGTTAAATAGACTGCATGCATGCACCAGAATATCCAACTGGTAAAACAGGATACTGTCCACGTATCTACATATACAGAGAGCAAGGAGGAGGGGAAGACCCTGCACACACAGCCATCATGCTGTGTACAGTGGGGCGCACTGTGTCTCAGCGACATTTCCTTTGTTTGTCCATTTGTGCATTCCAACAACTATTAACTGAGCATTTGTTTCGGGAAAAGGGGATGTAGAAGACCAAGAAGGCTCCCCTCTCTCTACAGACAAAAATGAAGTGAGCAATTGACATCATTCTAAATTGCACGTGAGAGGTCTACCTGCTTCAGGGGTTCACAGCGCAGTCCCTGAGAAGGTGACATTGGAACAAATCCAGCTATCCAGAAATCTAGGGAAAGAGGGTTCCAGACAGGGAGCAGGAGATGCGAAGTATATGCAGGAAGCTTGCCTAGGAAGGGATCAGGGAAAGAGGCCTTAGGCCCGAGGAGACGTGGGTTCTGTGGGCCGCAGAGGGGCGGAGGGCAGGACCCCCTAACCCGCTGCCGTGTTCCAGCGCCCTGGCCTGCAGCTGACGAGGACCACGAGTGAGCCAGCGAGGGGGCGGGGCCACCTCAGCCGCAGCCGCCGCCCCCTTCCCCGCAGCGACTCGGACCGCTACTGCCTGCCCCCCACTCCCTGGGCCCCCCGGCCCCTGCCCTCCTGCTACAGGCCACAGCCACAACCCTGGATTTTTTATTCTGATTTTTCCTTCCTTTTCTCTTTCCTTTTTTTTTTGTTTTGTTTTGTTTTTTAAAGAAACCGTTTTTTAAACTATTTCTAGGTTTGTGAATGTGAAGCCCCAGGCCGCAGGGGGCAAGGGGCCAGGTGCCCCCCCACCAGCTGAGAACAAAATGTCTATGTGGGTGTGGGCCCCTGGCCAGCTCCCTCCAGCCCTGGAGAGGAGGACAGGCTGAGGAGGCCAGGCCGAGCCCCTGGAACCATCCCGTCCTGTATCATATATGTAAATACTGTGAGGTGAAGCCCCCACCCGTCTCTAAGACCCCTTGGGGGCGAGGGCATCGCCTCACCCCACCCCGCGTTTCTGTACCTTCCTCTCAGACACCGTTACTGTAAGCTTGCAGGCCTCACCTGTGGCCAAGGCAGGCCCCGCTCTCTCAGGCCCTATGGGGTCAAAGGCCTTGGGCCCGTTCACCCCAAAAAAAAAAAACCAGTGTGGGGGCGAGGGAAGAGAAGGGCTCGCCCAGAGCCACTGCTGGAAAGGAATTAACTCTCCAAAGGTCACCCCCTCCCCGCCCCCTACCTGGTCAGGCCTTCATGGTCTCTGCCCTGAGCCCCCCATGAGTGGGCATTGGGGGTGGGCACTTTGGGAAGGGGCAGACCCCAGGGGAAAGCAAAGGGCTTCTCAGGGAACCCCCACATTCTCTCACTGAAGTTCCCCACCAGGATGGTCCCGTGGCCAGAGCCCCGAGTCCCTGGGCCCTCTTCAAAGGAAAAAGAGGCTCAGGTCATGACTTCATGAACAGTGACCAGGCTGGTGTGGTAGGGTGGAGCCCCCCCCACCCACTGCCTACCCGTGTCCTCTCCCCCAGGTCTGGGGCTGGGAACCTAAGCTCCCTTCCCCATCATAGTCCCCTCCCCTGAAAACCCCCTTTGGAGAGTTAATTGTCTGTGTGAGGTGCTTAACCTATTAGCCCTGAGAACACAAAGCAATAATCTTTGTTACTGAGATGCGCGGCTGTTCGTGGTTTTTTTTTTTTTTTTAATGTTTCCTAATAAAAGAGAAGCTGCATTGTATTGGTTTTTATTTTTAATTTTCTACACACTTGAGCTGAGTCATGAGAGACTTAGCTTTCCTCTCCTCCCCTTCCTGTGATCCCCCCCACCCAACTGGGCCCACCCATGGGCTCAGGGCCTTGGAATTCCGTTTTCTGATTTGTTTGGGAAATTTTTTTAAAAAGATGTTACACGGTGTTTCGAAGCCAGCAAGTTACCACCCTCCGGTGTCTCTTCTCTCCACATCTGTAACTTCTTTTTCCAGGTTTTATTTTCAGTTTTGAATTCCTAATAAATTATTTGAAAACGGGCCTGAGCTTGTGTCTTGTATCTCTCTGTGTGTTCAGAACTCGGTACCCCAATGATACCCTGTTTTCCCTTAACTTCTGTTTTCCTCCTGGAATAATCTTCACTTTCCTCTCGACCCAGCTCCCATCTCCAATTTCTTGACCAGCCTCAAAACNGCCCCCCCCACCCACTGCCTACCCGTGTCCTCTCCCCCAGGTCTGGGGCTGGGAACCTAAGCTCCCTTCCCCATCATAGTCCCCTCCCCTGAAAACCCCCTTTGGAGAGTTAATTGTCTGTGTGAGGTGCTTAACCTATTAGCCCTGAGAACACAAAGCAATAATCTTTGTTACTGAGATGCGCGGCTGTTCGTGGTTTTTTTTTTTTTTTTAATGTTTCCTAATAAAAGAGAAGCTGCATTGTATTGGTTTTTATTTTTAATTTTCTACACACTTGAGCTGAGTCATGAGAGACTTAGCTTTCCTCTCCTCCCCTTCCTGTGATCCCCCCCACCCAACTGGGCCCACCCATGGGCTCAGGGCCTTGGAATTCCGTTTTCTGATTTGTTTGGGAAATTTTTTTAAAAAGATGTTACACGGTGTTTCGAAGCCAGCAAGTTACCACCCTCCGGTGTCTCTTCTCTCCACATCTGTAACTTCTTTTTCCAGGTTTTATTTTCAGTTTTGAATTCCTAATAAATTATTTGAAAACGGGCCTGAGCTTGTGTCTTGTATCTCTCTGTGTGTTCAGAACTCGGTACCCCAATGATACCCTGTTTTCCCTTAACTTCTGTTTTCCTCCTGGAATAATCTTCACTTTCCTCTCGACCCAGCTCCCATCTCCAATTTCTTGACCAGCCTCAAAACTTGGTGTTGATGATGCGATACCATTTCATACCCAGTAGGATGGCCATCATCAGAAAACCAGAAAATAACAAAAGTTGGTGAGGAAGTGGAGAAATGGGAACTCCTGTTGCATTGCTAGTAAGCATGTAGGATGGTGCAGTTACTGTGGAAAATAGTTTGGCAGTTCTTCAAAAAGCTAAACATCGAAATATATGATCCAGCAATTCCACTCCTTGGTATACACCCAAAGGAATTGAACATAGGGGCTCAAAAAGATGCTGTGCACCAGTGTTTACAGCAGCATTATCCACAATAGCCAAAAGATGGAAGCCACCCGTGATGAATGTAAATAAGGCCTTTCCATACAGTGGAATATTATTCGGCTACAGTGGAATATTATTCAGCCATAAAAAGGACTGAAGTACCACTATGTGCTACAACATGGATGAACCTTGAAGAATTAGGCTAAATGAAAGAAGTCAGACACAAAAGGACAAATGTATGATTCTACACATTTGAGGTGCCTATTAATAGAATCAGCAAATTCATAGAGACAGCAAGTAGGTTAGAGGCTGGGGAGGAGGGAGTGGGAGGTTAGGGAGTTAGTTATTGCCTAATGATTACAGAGTTTCTGTTTGGGATAATGAAAACATTTAAGAAATGGGTTGTGCATAACATTGTGAATATAATTAATGCCACTGAATTGTACACTGAAAAATGATAAATTGGGAAGGGGCTATAAAAAACAGTACATTTTGTTATGTATTTTTTGAAAAAAAAGCTTGGCATCAACCCCTTACTCTCATGTGCTCAGTCATGTCTGAGCACGTGTCTGGCTCTTTGCAGCCCCGTGGACTATAACCTGCCAGGCTCCTCTGTCCAAAGAATTTTCCAGGCAAGAATACTGGATCGGGTTGCCATTTCCTACTCCAAAGGATCTCTTAAGTCTCCTGCATTGGCAACCAGATTTTTTACCACTATCACCACCCTTACCCTCAGTTCACTTCAGTCGCTCAGTCGTGTCTGACTCTTTGTGACCCCATGAATCGCAGCACACCAGGCCTCCCTGTCCATCACAAACTCCCGGAGTTTACTCAAACTCATGCCCATCGAGTCGGTGATGCCATCCAGCCATCTCATTCTCTCGTCCCCTTCTCCTGCCCCCAATCCCTCCCAGCATCAGGGTCTTTTCCAATGAGCCAACTCTTCGCATGAGGTGGCCAAAGTATTAAAGAGTTTCAGCTTCAGCACCAGTCCTTCCAATGGACTTATCTCCTTCAGGATGAACTGGTTGGATCTCCTTGCAGTCCAAGGGACTCTCAAGAGTCTTCTCCAACACCATAGTTCAAAAGCATCAATTTTTCGGCGCTCAGCTTTCTTCACAGTCCAACTCTCACATCCATACATGACCACTGGAAAAACCATGGCCTTGACCAGATGGACCTTTGTTGGCAAAGTAATGTCTCTGCTTTTTAACAT